GATGACAGTTTTAAAATCTAATGTCACAGGGTATAGGGAGAGATTGATGACAGAAGCTTTGTTTATCGAATCAACTGCAAATACATGTAATAGGAATGATTCATCACATGTCCCCGATATCTGGAAAATTCTACTACTCCAACGACGACAAATAGGAGAGAACAAAGAAAACTATAAAACTCAAGTGTCAAAGTCGTGTGATTACAATTGATATGATTATGAACAATACTAGATTGTGTTCGAAACTGTGTCATCCAGTAAATAATACTGTTTCATTGTGTGATATATCTAATAAACAAACTAATATGGAATTACTTACTACCACAGTGCTCAAGTTTTATACATATATGGCTATATGTTTGTTAACAATAATTGGTCAGTATCAACATGTCAAGTGGGTGATTATTATTCCCTTGGATTCTGAGTGGGACATAGGACGTCAACAACATATCTCCACTTTGTTTTATTTTCTGCTGTCCTCGTCAGCTGGGTCCACGATTGCCCGTAAGCTCTTATCTCCTCCAACTGGCGCGATCTCCTCCGTATGACTCTCTCACCGACGACCCACTGGTCGCTTCCCATTGAGATTCTACTCGAGCTATGTATGTCCTGCACTGAGCACGATGTCGTTCTACGGCCTCCTCAGTGGCGTATGCCTGATCCATCCATCTCGATTTTTTCCTACATATTTGTTGAACGATCGGCTCTTGGTTGGTTTGTTGCCAGAGGAAGGGGGTGATAATAAATGTCTAATTATGACTAATTATTGTTAAAAAACATATCTCCACTAGATTGGTAAAATGGGGTTTCTTTTTTTCTACATTAATATAATTGTATCTCTTGACAACCATTGTTGTGATTAGTTGTTAATTTTTGTATCAGTTTTGATGGTTTTTATTGATCTACAATTTGAGCGTTTTTTGTTATGTGGCTTATATTTTTATTAGTTGGTAAATTTAATATATGTTTGTTACATGGAGGATTTCATCATGAACTGACGTCAGTTAGAGAACCACTGGAAAACAAACTGGAATTACTGGACAGCTGTTTCGTCAGTCTAGTTTGGGACTCTTCATCAGTACGCACCCACCACCAGAGGGTTCGAACCCAGGACCTTCTGGTTACAAGACTAGCGAGCTCGTAGACCTTTGAGCCACTGGGACCCGATCCAATGGCTAGTCCATGAATTCTAACTTCTGCCAATTCACTACATAGCGTGACCATTTCTCAATGTCTTCTTCGACGAGTTACTGCCTCATCTTCAACCTGCTGTACCCTACTGGTCACAGCTTCCCACTAGAACCCCAGGTAACTACCTACCTGAATACGGCCAGTCGCTAGTGAGCATCAGATTAATTTCCAAGTATTGGTTTTGTAGGGATTTTGTTTGATTCCATGGAATCTATGTTTGTTAATCAATCGATGATTCATTGGAGTACCAGGCTTGTAGTGATCCTCTGGCATTTTACATGTTTCCACTGTTTAAAATTTCCTCATTTTCTCGATTGAATTGGTATTCATAATTGTCTACATGCATCGATATGGAAGAATACATGTCGTTGCTTTTTCACAACCAATTTATTATTTTCTTGCATTCGGAGTCAAAAGTGACGTCCGCTTTGACCAGAATGGCGGTTATCACAGTTCATGCAATTTATTTTGTAAATGGTGTCGATTGGTTTTTAGTATTCTAGCTGTTAATTCAGGGGTATTCTTTATATATATATATATATATATATATATATATATATATGGTTGAGTGAATTTCCTTGTGGCCTTGTAGAATGGTTCTCTTTCTGGCAGTTTGAAATGAGTTCAAACATTTCTTGATTAGACTGTATGGGTATTGATTTTTCTTGAAGAAAGTTTTTATAATTATTTGTCTTCTAATATACTCCTCATCACTGACTGGATTTCGATAGTGGTTAGTCATATAATGATTTTTTTTAATACCATGTCCAATCTCCACTAAATTTCAAGTGGTGTGTTTTACGGGTACACATTTTTAAATCAATCTTGGAACCTCAACTGTCAGATAGTAGAAATTCAAGTTCGTATGTTCACAGATTGGACTATTTGTTGCAATGTACTTTTTTGTTCTCAGATTATTAATTAATATCTAGTGACTACTAGATGAGGACTACGCTTTATCGTTTTTCACAGTTTTTCTGTAGTAAATATCAGTCTGAAAGTGACATGAAAAGGTTAGTTGTCTTTGGCTTGATCATAGATATCTGCCTTGTATCTCCCGTGTTAGGTGGTGGTGGTAAAATAGGGTGAGTATTAAATGAGGGTAGGTGTCAAGTGTTGGGTAAAGCGGCGGGTAAGTCAATGGATAAGGTTGTAAAGCTGAAGCGATCAAACGGATTCCTGGCCATCGGCCTTCCTTGAGAAGATGGGTAATGTTAGCTGACATATGGCTTCTCAGTTGAGAAAGAGTTTGCGGTGCTCAAACTAAAGCCTGGAATCAATTCATGAAATCTTTGATATTTATGGTTTGGGCTAGTCATGTAGGCAGGTGTAAACTTTTTGGTTGAGTCTCCGAGATCAACTTCGTCAAATATGCAGATGACCTGTCTGTATCGTTTCCCATTAAGTCTCAGTCAGACTGTCTCAAATTAAATAGCTTCCTGTCGGACATCAGTGAGTGGTCCAAACTAAGTGGTCTCATGCTGAATCCCTCAAAATGCCAGACTATTGACTTCTCCCTTAGGCATAAACGAGATCTACAAACACTAGTAAGTTCTCATGAAGCCTGTTGCATTGAGGCGACTAAAATTGAAACTAAGTCTAATGCAAAATACTTTGGTCTAGTTCTATCTTCCAACCTTACTTGGACATCTCATATCCTAACGATTTCTAAGAAAGTGTTCTGTCTAACCTACTACATTAAGAAACTTAGACAATCTGGAATCACCCAACCTCTACTTTCACAATTTGTCAACTCTTGTATCTTACCTATTCTACTTTACTGCTCCCCGTTAGTCTTTCCTAGTCTACTGAAAAAGGACTATACCATCCTGAGAAGGATGTTGAAGGTAGTTAGTAGCACTAGTGGTGTAAAACTCAGTCAGCTCGTCACTACTTTAGGTGATAGGCATCTGAATACATGCGTAAAATGGTCAAAAACCATACTCTCCGACCCCCAACACCCCTTCTATTCCCAACTCTCGCCTTGTATCTCATCAAGTAGAACCAGAAATCAGTATAAAATAATCTATGCTCGTACAACCAAGTACAGGAACTCAACAATACCAAACTTGGCCCGTGTTCTAAGCGACAGAGACAATGTTAAGCGTGAAATCTATGACTTGTTGTGTTATTAACAACATAATTTTAGGCTCTTTTATTTCTCTCTTATTTTGTATTCTATAGTGAACTCCTTCTCAGACATACTTAGCTACCTAAAATATTAACATTGGCTTCCTTTTTTGTACTTTACTATATTCCTTCTATTGTGTATCCACTGGTTCCGACTCTATTAGCACTATGAGTATTACAAAATTGTCCTGTCATTAACGATCATGTAATTATTAGTTTTTGTGGTTGTTTTTTATTATTTTCCATACTTTTCGGCAATATTAACTGACAATCATTGGTTGTGAACGCCATAGTCACCACCTTAAAATTTTTTATATTATTCAGGATTACTCACACTACCACCACAAACACTGCATTAGACTTTGGTAGACTTTGGTACTTTTTCGCATTTATAATTATTTTGTGTTTATCCTGTTTTTTTGTTTTTTTGCTGCTGGTGTCTTCAGATTTATTTTAAATGTTTGATAAAATTAGATGCAAATATTGTAGATATGTGCTGAAAATTCCACACTGTACCACTAGTACTGTTTATGGAATAAGGCAAATTATTATTATTATTATTATTATTATTATTACTAGATTCCATGAACCAATGGTTGTAGATCATTGGTTATATAGGTCGAAATCTTTCTCGAAGGCAAAGATACATTCACTCTCTTATATCTCTCTATTAGACCCTAGTGTTTTTCTATGTTACCACTTTTTTTCTCCCTCACATTTCTGCTTATTGTCGTTCTTTCGAACATCTTTTTTGCTCTCTTATGTCTTTCTTTGTGTAGAGTGTGGCAATTTGAATTGGTGCACTTCTGTGCAAAGTTCTATGTTGAAACCAGTCAGTCAGTCTAAAACTATAAAGCAGTATCCCATTAATCTAAGCCCTTGAATATATTTCTACAAATACATCACTAGTTTTAACTTTATTCAAATGAAGTTTTCCTTAGCTAAGAGTTATATTTGATGCGTCGATGGCAAAGCGGTAGAATGCTTGCCAACTACGTAGGTGGTTCGGGGTTCGATCCCCGGCCACAGACGCGCTCCTTTACCTCACTAAACCAGTAATAAGGCTGGTAAAGAGTGAAGGTTGGGCATGAGGCTAGCGACCCCATCCTGTAAAAGCAAATAAATACCACTGCTACTGAAACTTCAAAAGTCTAGCTTGAAGTCCTATGTTCCACTGGGAACGTAAAGGAATAAAAAAGAGTTATATTACAAATTTCCATGAATCATGCTGTAACAGTAGAAGATGAAAGACTTGGTAAAGGAATGTTTATTTGGAAACTGCTTCCTCTATATAGCCAAATTATGTATACCCTATCTTCAACGCACCATTTGCTTCTCGCCTTCCTTAATATTGTGTTTCTTTGTGTCCCTTTCACGTCTCCTATGTATCTCTACAACGCTACATCCTTTGCCTTCTCTGAAATCAAATGTATCTCCCTGCTGTTTGATGTTTTCTATGTCAATGAACATCTCTTCATATATATACTACTAATAAATCTTATCAGTAGCACTCTCCATAATATCACTAAATTCTAGTAGCATGTATATTTAAGTTTCTTTTTTTGTAAAATTAAATTTTTTGCCATCACATTTCTTTGCAGGAAAAATTATTATGTTTTAGATATAAAAATTTATTGCTTCCTATTTATCCTCTTTATTTTTTTGTTTCTTCCAATCAGATTCGACACTTTCCAAGAATACTGAAACAGGCTGGTCACAAAAATCCTTATTCACGTAAAAATATGCTGTACAATTTCGTGTATACACTGTGTGGACCTCAATTGCCCAGGTTGGTTAGTTGTGCTTCTTGTTTTTGTTGTTGTTTGTTGTCGTTTAATGTGTTTAATGTTTACAAGACGAAAGACGTAGACAGCGAAAAAAATTTTCTTTTCGATAATTCATTTTCAAACGCGCTGTACAATCGATAAATCTGGGTGGATATTCGTTCTCCAGTAGGGATCCTATATAATTCTATCTCTGTCCCTTATCTTCCAAACAGATATTTCGAATCCTTGAGCATAAGGTGGTAGGTAAGTACTAAGTTTTGGCTTTCGGACGACCGGTGACACACAAATCTGGAAGTTATCAAGCTGTCCAGTTCATGCCGGTTTGTGGTAAATTGATCTTTGTATCAATCCAGTAGTCTTGTCTACTAGTAAGTAGTACATCCGGGAATGGAGACGGCATGTTTGATTCACTCTCTAGGTTCAATTTTATTGATGGGTGTTGGAAGTTTTGCAAAGATTGTCCAGATCAAATTTTTCATCACAAATTTAAAAATATCGCCTACGTATCTCTTTTTCTGGTAGAGGTACAGTTAACTGGTCAAAGGAACAAGGATGTTGTTTCCAAAATTCGCCATAAAAACAGTCAGTTAAGAGGGGATCATGCGGAGATCTCTTAGCCACACCATCTTTCTGTATGTAGAATTATTTATTGAATATTAAATTTGAATAAGGCATTTAGAAGACAAATTTCGCGAGATGATGCCGTCATTTCGTAGTTTCTTTACAAACCGCTTTACAACTAACAGGGTTAACAATAATAAAGTAAAGTTCATGACAATTACTCAGTTAAATAAAAACAAAAGTACATACTAATGACCAGTCATATTTAAATAGGTCATGTAGTCCATGGTAGGCGAAGATTGAAGTCTATTGTTTTTCGTACACACAGTTTAGGCTGTATGTAATCAATCCAAAGTGCTTCCATCACCTTCAATAACCGACCTCGAATTAGAGTTAAGTGAAATAATTGTGAAACAGTCATCAATGTTGATTTTGTGACCTGACATTAATAAGTGTTTTGCAATGGATGATAATGCTGGATTTCTATTCAGATTACTCGCATTGGGATTATCTATATGATTTAGTAGACATTTTGGAACATGTCCTTTTCGACGACCACATTGGGACATTCTGTTGGTTCTATCTATATGGGTGTCACCGCAGCTGCAGGTGCACTTGCAGATACAGTTTGAAATGGAGTCCACAGAATTTCGTCCTTTGATCGTAGGTACAGGGATCGAAAATGTTCGGCAAGTGAGAAAAAGAGATGTGGCGGCGTAGAATGTGCGTTTGATGGCTGACCGAAGTCTTTTAGCTGTCAACTGCATACTCTGGTCGCCCTTGAAAGAAAGACGCAGACAGCGAAGATAATTTTATTTTCGATGATTCATTTTCAAAAGCTGTATAATCAATAAATCTGGGTGGATATTTGTTCTCCAGTAAAGATTCCATCTAATTCTATCACTTATCTTCCGAACAGATATTTCGAATCCTTGAGCATAAGGTGGTAGGTAAGTACAAAGTTTTGGCTTTCGGACCTGTGGCACATAACTCTGGAAGTTATTAAGCTGTCCATTTCATGTTGGTTTGCGGTATATTGATGTTTGTATCAATCCATTAGTCCTGTATACTACTAAGTAGTACATCTGAGAATGAAAACGGCATGTTTGATTCACATTCATGGTGAATTTTATTGATGGGTGCACTATGTTGAAAGTTTTGGGGAGATTGTTTAGTATCATCTACGTATGTCTATCTGGCAGAGGTGCAGTTAACTGATCAAGGAATCAAGGACTGACTATGAAAGCAGTCAGCTAAGAGTGGACCATGCGGAGAACCCTTAGCCACACCATCTTTCTATATGTAGAATTATTTATTGAATATGAATTGAATATTAAATGTACATTCGAGAAGTAGTTCCATCAGGTAATTGATGGGAAGAGGTTCTTCTTCAAGGTTGTTGATTCACTTATTACATCATCTCAATTCCTGTTCGCTTTTCCTAATCTCCAATCAATCGTTGCCATGTAGATTACACACTACATTAAGTAACTGATTTTCTAGAACAAGTTTACCAGTATCTGATTAGTCTTATGAATTCTTTCTTAAATGAACTTGTGATTATGTGGCTTTTTGAAGATGAATCATTGAAAAGAAAATTTTCTTTGCTGTTTACTTCCACTTTTTCTTATGATTTAATTTGGGGGGAATATTCCGTTCATTCATTGTTTATAGTGAATTTACTTGATTGTGATATATATGTGGTTAGTTCATTGTTGGTTTGTTTTTCGCTTCTTCTTCTTCTTTCCTTTGAGTTCCAAGCGGAATACATAGATCTTCTATAGTTTGGTTTGTAAGGGTTTGTTATGTTTTTACGAGTTGATCACGGATTGATATCAGTTAGTGAACCATTGAAAACCAGCACTGGAGTACTGGACAGCTGCTGTTTCATCAGCCTAGTTTGGGAATCATCGGCAGTACGCATCCACTGGGATTCGAACCCAGGACCTTCCGGTGTCACGTGTGTGGATGGATGTCCCACCAACGACAATGGTTGGGGTCGCGCTAAATCACGAATTGGTAGAAGTTAGAATTCATGAGCCATTGAATCGGGTCCCAGTGGCTGAATGGTATACGACCTTGCCTTGTAACCGGAAGGTCCTGGGTTCCAATCCCAGTGGGTGCGTACTGCCGATGATTCACAAACTAGAACGAAACAGCAGCTGTCCAGTACTCCAATGCTGGTTTTCAATGGTTCGCTAACTGATATCAATCCGTGATCAACTCGTAAAATACATAGATCTGCAAGTTTTGAGGTTTGAAACTCCAGTAGGGCTTGATTCGCCTTCGTGCGGTCGCGTTGCTAGCCCAGCACCTGTCTAACGTCTCCCCCTTTCCCGAGCTTAGTGCTGACCGGTTAGTTGATGTTTTTAGAGTGTTTCAGTCAGAAATGGAGTCCGGGACACTGTGGCGTAGCTGCTGAGCATTCTGCCTTTTTTGCCACCGTTGAGACCAAAACCACCTCGTTGTGGTCTAAACTCAGGAAACTGATCCCTGTTTCTCGCTCCATGCCTGACAAAACTACCTTGAGGAAAACATGGTCGTGAAACACTACAAAGACAGTAAAATGTTGATTATTCTTCAATAAATTTTCAATTCTATTCAACAATAAAAAACATCAATGAAATCCACTACAGTTAGTCTATGCCACGTTGGAAGGTGTAGACTTCCTGACTGGTTGGGGTCCTCGGGACGGTAAAAACCAATGGTTGAAAACAATTGGTGACATGGCTCAAAATCGTTCTCAATGGCTGGCTCAGTTGCATCCACTCCTTGTGACTTATGATTTCCAATGAAACTGTTTTGTTCTTCGTTATTACTATACCTTTGTCTCACACCTCTGTTTACTGTCTATATTATTGTGCATTCCTCCTACTTTCTTCTCTTGCTTTGTGTGCTACAAGGAGGGAGTGTGGCGACTTGAACTGCTGCACATTGGTGGACAGTTCTATGTCGAAAACAGACAGACAGACAGACAGAAAATCGCTTCAACAGAGTAGTGGCGTTAGGCAGTTATACAGCCAACGTAAGTTTCTAAGTAGAAAAGGAAACAGGTAATTGACATCTAGTAGAATATTCCAAACAAGGTGAGATCAAAAACTCTGTCCACAAGAATCACATACCAACACATTCCGGCGCACAATCCATAGTCAGAATGACCTTGACTCACTCAAACAAGGTCATAGTCGTAGATTATCAATATCATCGATCACACACACACACAGTCACAATAGGGAAGCATTAAAATTAGGGATTAAACAGAGATAAAGACACAAATTATAAGGATTAAATCGACATGTGATATGTAAACGTCAGAACAATGATATATAACCTAGGAATAAAGGAGGAAAATAAGTAAAAAGTTAGTTGAAAGATTCAACTAATTATGTTGTTGTTGTAATTATGTCTTTTCGGGAGCGGGGAGGTGGGGAGATTTTCCAAACATTTATTCCGTTACAATCACATATAATGTGAATCTGCAAAAAGAAATTTCGATCAGTCTTTTTCCCATCGGATTTTTATATTCATGCATATTTAGAAGTGGTTAGACATTTCTTCCTCTCCCACTTTTTAAACAGCAATCATAGATTCTTATTTGCGTATATGCCTGAATTTTTTTCAAGCTAACTTCCTACAACAAAGTAGAAGGTTGTTGAGATTTTTCAGCTGGATTAATACAGTTTTGTTTTTTGCGAATTGCGAGACTGCTCTCTATAATCTACTCATTCTATACTACTTAAATAAATGTAATGTAGGTGATATGCCTCCCTTAGATGACAACCCCTGGTACGAACCAGGGTGCATAGACTTCGATGTACTTCTAGAAACGCTGTCATGTGGTCATAGGCGTTCATAGCCGCCTACCTCTGCCATGTTAGGCCTATTCACACTGCCTTCACGCGGCGACGGAGTGTTGCTAACAAAAGTGAGAAGACAAATGCAGACGTTTGGCTCTTACAACTGGAATAACTGGTTGACATGTGCTGGTCTATTTACTAAACCTAAGTTGTGTACATGGGCTCTAGGATCTGAAAGGAACGACGAGTAGCGTTTAAGCCCGTTTTAGTCATCGGGATGTAGCTTCTTACGCTTCTCCATACTAGCTTAAGTGGTCGTCAGACTTCAAGTCAAAGACTCTGAGTTCGTCCCTTAAGTAAGATGATCACCTGCTTCGGTCTACGCGTTCCTTGTGGAAACTGTGAGACAATAATTCGTCTGGTCGATCTCTTCTAGTACCTATAATATACCAAATTTTTGTTAAATCTCGTATCTCATGAAACAATCTCCTGAATTTTTTTATTTGAACAAAGCGAAAGCGACAAATTGTGAGCAGCGGAAGGGGGTGGGTGGGAGAGTAGTATGATGTCATTTAATTTTGTCTGTTTCTTCTCAAGTACACACACATACAACCTAAAACACAATTTTAATATGAACATTACCA